CAGCTTCCTGATCTTGGCAGAGGTAGCCTTGCCTTAAGACAACCAGCTCTGAATATTTTTATGGAGCTGTTCCTAAAGTTCTGCCTACAAGCTGTTTATTCAGCTCTCCTAACAATTTTGTGAAATTCTTTTATGGCTTAATAAATCCTTTTCTTCTTACAAGAGGATTTTTTTTTTACCACAACTGAAAACAGTAACTGATACACTGCTCCTAAAACCCATGTTCTATTCCTCATATGCTTGGATATGCGCCAATGACTATTAAAACTATTTGGAAATCCACACACCGGGCAGTGATTTGACATATGGGAAACTTTTTCTCCCAGTCACTTACAACAATAGCAATAAAACAAAACATAAAAAAAAAACTGTATGAGCCATGTGAAAAATAGATTAGCAAAAGAACTGAGAAACAAGAAAGAAAGAAAAATTGAGCCATGAAATAGTAAGAGGGAAAGCTTGGCACTGAGAGAGAGTAGCTTTGACAAATTACTGATTTCCATCACTGGGCAGCATGGGTCACACTTGTTCCTGACTTTATTATTATTACTATTATTTAGTATGATTCCTTATTTTTATCTTTACCTTAAACTATCTCGAATGAGTCTTGGCAAAAGAATCAATCATAAGAATCTATACTCAAGCAAAACACCACAGAAGAGAATGGAGAAGAAGAGACTACTGTCTTTAACTTCCTTCCTTCCTTCTTTCCTTCCTTCCTTCCTTACTCCCTTCCCTCCCTCCCTCTGTTCCTTCCTTCCTTCCTTCCTTCCTTCTCTTTCTTCTTCCTTCCTTCCATCCTCTTCCTTTTTCCACTCTTCCTTCTCTTTGATCTCTAGCTGCTCACTATTTAATATAAACTATTTTAATATTAATCTAAATCATATATAGTCAACTATGTATTCCTTTATAAAGCCCTAAATATTATCACACTTATTGCATTAATAAGCTCCAACTAGTCAAAGATTTTGTCCCAATATCTAACCTTTCTAACATTTCATTACCTATATGTTATCATACCATTTTTTTAAATATCAGGATCAATATAAACAAACTTATTTTATCCTGGGGAAAAATAAATAAAATTAAATAAAATTGAAAATAACTATTGAAAGAAGATGTTTTGGAAGTTCAAAGTCAAAGAGAATTCTGAGCTTTGGAGCCTCTGAGATTGACTATACCATATAACACAATTAGTACACAAGACAAGTAGGACACAAGTAGGACAAGTTTCTGTCCAGAAACTATCTAACCACGTAATATGAAAAATGAGACATTTATGGAAGGAGATACAAGATATGAAAAACATTGTACATAGGACAATGACACACCTCAGTCCCTTTCAAAGCGGGCACCTTGGGACCTCTCACAGTTCTTTCAGTCATCATCAGCTGCCGCATTGCACGTTCCTGAATTTCATCAGTGGTCGGAAATCTCTTCCCTTTCAAAGGTGATTTTAGTTTTGGGAAAAGCCAGAAGTCACAGGGCACAAAATCTGGGTTGTAGGGGGGCTGAATCACCTAGATGATTTGCTATTTCACAAAAATCTCTGCACAAGACATGATGCATGATCAGGCACATTAAGCTGTCAATCACCAGTTGCCCATAGCTATGGCCTTCTGGATCATCCAATTAGTTTCCACAGAGGAATGTTCAAGCTTTATGCAAAATTTGATGCAGATATGTTGCTCTACTTGCTCAGTCATTTTGAAAGCAACAGTCACACAGTATATATGCTCACTCAATGGTGTCTACCACCCACCCTATTACAGTGAAGTCATCATTGTTCACACATGTGCATTCCTGTCCACTCTCCTTGGATGCCCAGTTACACCAATATTATGCAAACCACTCATTATATTAACAATGGCTAGACTTTTTACAGAGAGACCTCAAACATATAGAAGTCAGGGAAGAGAGCTGATTTTCTGGTTTATTTATTTACATGTTTCATTTTATAGAGCAAAATTTTATGTATATTTTAACTGTATACTATCTAAATGCAAAATCCAAAATAAGCAACTGAATGTGCAAGGATGGATTACATAAGAGACATTAGAACTAGAGACAGATTAGGAAGTTACCATAGAGCTGGTGATACATCTACAATAAATTAATTTTTACATTGTGAGAAACCTCACAGTCTACAAATTTGTACACTAAAAATACAGAGTGAATGGAAAAAATGTGACTGAAAAATGCCACGCACAATGTAATGTTGTAATCATAACTAACAAAATTATAGCAATACTACTAAAAATACCACCACAATTTAATATTTTCTGGCATTTATTTCAAGAATCATAGTCAGTCTCTGCACCCTTACACTTAGAATTTAGTGAGTTTTCTTTCCTTTGAGATATAGATTCTAAAGGGAACTGACTTTTAATAAAATATAGTATCATCAACATTAAAATCTGATGCATATTTTTTACTAATCTCCTTTTTTAAGGCAGGAAAAATCTTAATGGTTTTATGTACTCACATCTTAGCCAGATATGTTGGTGCAGTGAAAACCATTTTTTAAAAATGTTTGGTCACTAAACGGCCACTATAAGCACTGAAGCACAATATATTGTCTGTATGCTTGCTTGTGTTGTTGTATTGATAAAAAATTCTATAAAATATGACAAGGCTTTCTCCTTGTTCCTTCAAATCTTGACATGCTGAGGAAAACCATATAGAAATGAACACAATTTTTAATAACTTACTGATATCACTTCACCATTTATTAATTACTAATATTTAGACACATTAAAAGTGATGCTTATGTGTAGATAATGAAATAAAGGAGCTTGAAATATTCCTACTATTTCATAGTGCACACTATTTCCAGTCCCACTTTCTATTTTCTCTGTAAAAAAAATGATTTCTTTACCTCTTTCACCTTCAATTTGCTCTCTATATTCTCCAATGTCCTTTCCCAGTTAAGATTTTAGGTTCTGAAAGATTCTTCTGCCTCACAATCTTTGAGTCACAAGCTCCTATGTAGCCTGTTTCAGGTATGCCTGTCTGGATGGAAAAATCAAAACGTTTTCTGCCCTAAATTGCATTTAACTGGAAAAAAAAAGTGTGAATATTTTTCCTCTTCCAAAGGACATCTTAATGTTAAAAACTAAATCCCTAGGTTCTAATATAAAAGTGTCTTCTAATAGTTACCTTCACATGTGGAAAAATGTTGATTATTTTTAAATAATTTTTCAAAAGTCCTTTCCTACAGGGACTTCCCCAATAACCTTATTCAGATGTACACTTCATACCTATATTGTCACCCTCACCTTTTGTATTTTGTTTAATTAGTTTACCTGTTTGATCTTCTTTACTTACTCCTGCACTACTAATTTGTAGTCAGTGTCTATATAGTTTTACTGTACATTTACTTTGCTCAGTCTCCACATATAAATCATTTCTCAAAATTATCAACCTAAAAATTCAAGGAATTATTGCAAAGGAGTCAAATTAAAAGCTGATAATATATGTTCACCATTCAGTTAATGATATATGCTCACCATTAGTATTTTCTTTTTTTTAAGAAAACAAAAACTTCCTGGTTATCAATTTTCATGTTGCCAATTTTCAAAATTATGAATGTAAACAGCAGTAAATTTAATTACAAAATTTATGTTTAGAAGATATTACTTCTGCAGAATTGTATTTCTCTTAGAATTATTTTTGCCTATATAGTTAAAAATTAATATTATATTATAAAAGATTACCCAGAAATAAAATATTTCGTTGCAATAATAAAATATTGCATTGGTTATGAATAAACTATAGCTTGATTTTGAAAGTGTTTTCTCCTTAGTTAAACACTAGATTTTTAAAAATTATCTTTTTGTTAAAAGTTAACCAATGAGATATATAGAGATTAAGATTAACCCAAAATCCTCCTATTATCATACAACTGGGTACATGTTTCATATGATGGTACATGTTTTATGTGAATGTACATGTGTATGTGCAAATGTACTTTCCTATTTTAATACTGTCTTTGATATTGTTTTAAATGTTTCTCTTGTCTTAAATGATCTATGGAAGTTGTTTGACTTGAGTAACCTAGACCTTTCACTGAGCTTTCACTGAACCTTACTGAACAGGAAATTATTCAGTACACCTTGTATTCCTGTTAATCCCATCTGACATTTTCCAAGATAAATAGGAAATCCACAAAGATTTAGGTTTTAGGGAAAACATTATCAAGCCCACCCCATTACTCTTTCTTGAGAAAACTGATAAGAAAAATCATTAGAAAGACATGATAATACAATGAAATCATCAGAACACTATTTAAAATTTTATTGCTTTCTTTTCTTCTTCAGTCTTTGCACATCTGAAAAACCATTTTAATGTCACATCAGAGTGCTGGTGCTGAATGTTGACATCAAGGCATTTGTAAAGTCTAAATTTTAGTCTTGACATCAGGTAGAAATCATTTTGGAATAATGTATTTAAATGACTCAAAAAATAAAAGAAAGCAAGGAAAAAGAGAAGAACAATAAATTCATAAAAGCTAAAGTGATTGATTTGGAATAAAAAATAAACCATAGTTAGTGGGATTGATCAAGGATGATATATTATTAATTGGTCATCGTTTAATTGTATTACATAATTAATGCATTTAGGAAAAAAGTAATTTCCTACAGCTTATTTTTTTCAAACTTACATTACTCACATTCTTACATAATTTTTCTTTCTAGATTGATTCTTCCTAGCATGGAGTCAGCTTCTAGTCAGGTTCCTTCTTCAGTGTCTGTGATGTTAATTGGTAGATAAATTTATGAAATGAAAATACACTTTTAATATTTCCCAAGCAAAATATAATTAGAAGGGAACGTGAACTAGAGATATATGCACTGATAACATTATCAAATAAATGTAAAAGTAAGGATTAGAACATAACTAAAGACCAAACCTGTATGTGATCTTTACTCCAAAGCTTTTGGCAAATCAATATGAAATATTCTTTGATTTATGTAAAATTTGCATGAACTATGTCTTACCTCATTCTGAAGATCTCGGATCATTTTGCTCTTCCTTTCCACTTCAGTTTTCAAAAAATTAATCTGAAAATGAATAGAAAATTATCTATACATATTTCTCATTTATTTTCATGGTTTTTATACTATTTATTTTCATAATTTTGGGGGTGTAATATAATCATTCTTATCAACAAATATTGAAAAAGAGCAAAGTATTAAAATTTTTATTAACTGAACTTTTATTGCTCAATTCATACATCTATCTGCTGAGTATATACAAATCACCTTTACTCATAAAATAAAATATATATTTAAAAAATATTCAGAATCCATGACCACTATGAATGTTATCCTCTTATGTGTTTACATCTCAAATTTTAAAAATATGTGCCTCTAAAAATTTTTTTAAAAATTAAAACCTATGGCTGGGCTTAGGAATCCATTCCTATAACACTCTCCAGGTTATTTTGACCTATGGCCAAGTTTGAAAGTAGTTGCATAGGGATATTCATGACTTTAAAAGTAAAGAATGTTAAAAATACTGTACCAAAGAAATCATGATATTTCCTGTTGGATGTGATATTGTTGGGAACTGTAAATTCAGGCCAGTAATTCCAACTCTATTTGCATAAGCATAGCACATTATCTATTTGAGGAAATTGAAAAAATAGTCAATAAAGCATAGTAGCTAAGATTTGAAAATTTATTGTCACTAAGAGTTTATTATAAGAAAAGCTAACTGTAAGACAGTAGATGAAACAATTTCTCCAATTTTGTAGTGTTGGAAATCACATTTAAAAAAGTAAAAAAAATATAGGAAAAATTAACTTTACTAATATATTTTATTTTATGCAATATATTTAAAATATTATCATTTAACATGTAATAGATTATTAATGCATTTTTTTGGCAACATGCTTTCAAAATATACTGCAGGTTTTACACTTACAGCACACCTCAGTTTGGACTAGCCATTTTTTATTTTTTATTTTTTTAATTTAATTTTAATTTATTTTTTCAAATATATTTGTCTCTGCCTACCCCCCACCACTTTCCCTTGCCCCCACCCTCCTTCCCTCCTTCAGCTCATCCCCTTTGGTTTTGTCCATGAGTCCTTGCTATATGTGCCTTGACTTTCCCCTTCCCTTCCTTTTCCCTGCCCCCCCTTCCCTCTTGTCTCTGTTGATTTCTTTTCCTTTCAGTGTTGCTGGTCTTATTTTCCTTGCATCTTTGTATTGTTGGTTAGGTTCCACTTATAGGTGAGATCATATGGTATTCGTCATTCGCCCCCTGGTTTATTTCGCTTAGCATAATGCTCTCCAGTTCCACCCATGCTGTCGCGAAGTTTAGGAGTTCTTTTTTTCTTTCTGCTGCATAGTATTCCATTGTGTATATGTACCATTACTTTTAGATCCAATCATCTACTGATGGGCATTTAGGTTGCTTCCAACACTTGGCTATTGTAAATTGTGCTGCTATGAACATTGGGGTGCATAGGTTCTTTTGTATTGGCGTTTTGGTGTTCTCAGGGTATAGTCCCAGCAGGGGAATCACTGGATCAAAAGGCAGTTCCATTTTCAGCTTTTTGAGGAAATTCCACACTGCTTTCCACAATGGCTGCACCAGTCTACATTCTCACCAACAATGGACTAGGGTTCCCTTTTCTCCACAGCCTGGCCAGCACCTGTTGTTTGTGGATCTGTTTATGATGGCCATTCTGACCGGTGTGAGGTGGTACCTCAGGTGGGTTTGATCTGCATTTCTCTTATGGCTAGTGATGCTGAGCATCCTTTCAAATGCCTCTGGGCCCTCTGTATCTCCTCCTTGGAAAAGCGTCTTCCCAGGTCCTTTGCCCATTTTTGGACTAGCCATTTTTTAATGCTCAATAACCTCATGAATCTATTGGTTATTCATCTAACAACATAGCCTTAAAAGAACCCCTAGAATTCTACAAAAGAGATTGGCAATGTGAATTATCTCTAGAGATAAATCGAATCAATAGAAATCAGATAAAAGTTGATTTTCACCACGTAGACAGATTTTTTTAAAGTTAGTTCTGAAACATTTCAAACATAAAGAAAGGAAAAAGAAGTAATATATATTCAATAAGTTATTTCTAGGTCTAAACCTAATGATAAATATACATTAAATGTTTTGTCCAATTTATTCAAACCCTGTAAAGAAAACATTATATATACTATTAAAGCCCTACCTAATTTTTCTTCTGTCTCCCTAAAGATAGTGATTACCCTGAAGTTTGTGTGCATTTGTCTTGTACATGTTTTCTTGCATTTTACTTACTGTGTATTATATAAAGCCTGACAGCATATGTTAATATGCTAAATTACAATGGAGAGAGAGAGCTGCTTTGTTGCCCTGGGATTATATTAACTGGAGTTTGGTATAGACAAGGTGCTTTTTCAAAATAACCAATGAATTCCCCATGTTTTCATAGGCTTTCTGATGGCTCCACTCTGTAGGCAATCCACTGTTCCCCCACTCCAGCCTGACAGCCCTCTAGGATCAAACACCTCTCCCCGCACCGTTTTGACTTCTATTGTGCCTGTGCTCGTCTCTCCTTGCTCGTTTTTCTCCCCCATTACCTGGTACCAGAGTCGGGAAGAGAGAAGTGTTAATCCCCTTGGCAAAGCAATGCTATGATCCCCTGGGGCGTGAAGTTGTAGCTTCCTGGTGAAGCAAACAGGCTCATGCTCCCCAGTTTATTAAAGTCAGCGCTCAATCCCCTTTGCTTCCTTTTCTTATTAATAGCTAGCTAATCACCTATGGTAACATTACCATTACCTCAAATATTCATGATGAGTTTAAACTATGAAGACACTGACATCAGCCTCAAAACAAGAGTCACATTCATTGCCTCTCTAGGAACATAAAGTTTAATTTGGTTGATGAAACAAAGGTATCACTGAAAGGCCTTGATGTGATTCAAAATTACATATGTATGCAGAACAATAGCGTGTGCTCTAATAAACAGCTGTAATACTCATTTCTATTATTTTGTGCAGGTCTTAGATTATTGAAAGTGACTGTGCTGGCCCTTGTTGGTCTTATGATTTGTAAGACACTCTCATTGATAACCAACAGGAAACTTTGAATAAAAAGTTTGTTACTTATAAGTCCTAAAAGTTACATGGCACACCTGTAGCCATACAGTGAGAGAGAAGGGGAGAAAGGGGGAACAAAGGAAGAAGAGGGGGTGAGAAGCTAGGACTGAGGTTTTGGCTTTATTGAGGTTGAAGATAAAGGCTAAGGTTCAAGAGCTCACTCTTTATTGGTGAATTTAAAACATCATGGAAATTTTAAAATATGGGAAGAGCAAAACAAGTGACCCAAACAGTCAGCTGTTGGTTAGTTACAGAGATCAACCAAAATCTCTAAAACAAAGGAGCAGTGTGCAGGGAGGGGGAGGGGAAGGGAGCGAGACATCTGGGCTTCTCCGGTTGGCAGTGTGTTTTTTGAGATAGCCGTCTTTGAAGAAATGCCTCTTCGCTGTGGATTCCTCTGCAATGAAAGCCTAAGTCATGTACTTGGGTTATTGGCGGAAGTGGAGTTCTTGTGGTATCAGGAGGAAAAGAATTTCCTGAGACCCATATGGGATAGTAGGGTTCCGCGGTGAACTTTATTGATGGTGGAAAATTAAGGGAGTTCCCTCCTGACTTCCCAATATCCCATCTCTGTCCATCTCACCATACAAAGTCAGGGCCAGAAATAAAATCCTGTGTCATATTAAAGCTCAGTCCAGTCAAGCATCGGGAAGTTTAGCGTGTGCTTCCAGCTGCAGGCCACGGCTGTGCCGCTGTATTCAGTCTCCCTCCTGGAGCCTGCCAGCAGGGCAGCACAGCTATGGGCCCTGCAGCTGCTAGGACCACGTGGCCTTGGAGAGAACAAGCTCCTGCACCATGAGAATGTGAGTCGCTGGGTGAGAAAAAGAGTTTCTTTGTTCCCCTGGCATTATATTAGCTTGAGCTTGAAAAAGAAAAAAAGCTTTTTCAATTTGGCCAATGAACCGCCCAAGTTTTTGCAGGCTTTTGATAGGTTAAACTGAGAGGCCTTTCTGTTAAGCTCCTCCCCCTGAGCCGCCAACATTCCAACAATCCAGTATGAGAAGTGGGGAGAAGAGAGGATGTAATCCTCTTGGCAGAGAGATGCTGTAATTCCCTGGGATGTGAAGCTGTAGCTTCCTGCCTAAGCAAGCAGGTACATGCTCCTCGTTTTATTAAGCTCAATGTCTAATTCCCTTTGATCCTTTTGGTTATTAATAATTAACCTAATACCAATGGTAACACTTGCAATACAAAAAAGAAATACCAATTGTCAAGGCTAATACTACATCTACCCAAGCACTTTACAAACACTGAAAAATTTTGATATGCTACCGGTTTGTCTTCATTTTAAGTCATAAACTATTTAAAGCCACTGTGCTTATATTAAAAGCTTGCTTTTCCACTGATACCATTATTTTCTCCAAATCCTCTCTCCCTTTTGACCCTATTCAGTATGTTATCCATAATTAACAACTTGCTTTAATTATAATTACAATGAAAATTATATAGAAATGTAAGAATATAATTGTTTAAATGTTAAAATGAGACAGGAAAAAACTTGAGAATATTCAGATATTCAGGACCTGAAATATATTCAGAATATTTTAAAAAGTATCAGCATTTTGAAACCATTCATATGGAATTACAGCAGATTTTATTATCTTTGGTAAAATAAGCATTCCTAGTAGGCAGTTATCAATTAATTCTCAGAGTCAAAAATACATTTATTTGAATAAAGAATGAAAGAACATAGCAACACTTTATTCATAATGAGAGGCAAAGTTTGAAGCTAATTATTAACTTTAGACTAATTATGTCTCACTTAGGGCAAATTAAGACATAAAAATTAACAAGAGTAGTGAAATACCTCCAACAAACATTAATATCGTCAATTACTCTGGTTACACCTGAGAGCTCAGTGTTCCTTGCTATTAAGTGTTTCATGAGGAACACATATTTGAAAGATTTGCCACTTTATTATTTGCTTGTGTATAAAAACAAATGTTCACATGTTTACATAAA